GATTCAATCCAAGAGAGGAGTAAAGAAAACCTAGGTCAAAAGAAATTAACTAAACAAACACAAAACCAAAAAAGGAACAGACTGTTAAGATATATCTGGAACAATACCAAATAGCCTAATGCACCTGTACCAGAATTCTGAAAGAACAGAGGGAGATCGAGCAGGACAAAGATAAGACTAGATAAGTACTGAAATCTTTTCAAAGTGATAAAAGACATTAATTCACAGACTCAAGAAGTTTAGGTAACCCAAACAGGATTAAATGTACAGAAAACAAAAGATAAAGAGCAAAGCCTGGATGTAAGCAGAGGGAAGCGCAATGACATGGGATAATGATTAGAGATGATGGGGAACTTCTGTGCATTAAACTAGAACGCAAGTAAGATCAGCTTTTAAATAATCTAAAACAAAACCCCTCTGCTGCCACTCAGCAGGAATTTTCACCGTTTAGTAGACATTAAACTAAGGGCAAAGTGAATCTCCCAGAAATTACCTAACTTGATATAAACCAGCAGTTTGCCCTTAAAAAGGAGGATTTGGGGAAGAAGGGGAAGAAGTTTCACTTATGCTAGATAAAAAAAATTCTATGTATGTATTATTCGACACAGTCCTGACAGCTTACACTATTACAACTTAAAATTGGTAAGAAGGTAGATTTTAAGTGTTTTAGCCCAAAACACACACACTCACTTTCTCTCTCTCCCTTCACTCTTAGGTCTTCTCTATCTCTCCCTCACCCTCTCTCTGCCCCTCTCCCCCAACTCTTCTGTCCTCCCTCTCCTCTCCCCTTCCCTCTCTTCCTTCCTCTCCCTCTGTCTCGTTGGCCCTCAGTATCCATATGGTCTTCATTCATAGATAAACCAACTCCAGATCAAAAACACTGGGGTGGAAGGATGTATCTGTACTGAACGTACACACTGTCCTTTTCATTATGCCCTAAGTACAGTATAACAACTATTTATATATTTATATTTTCAAATATCCTAAGTACTATAATCCATAGATGATTTAAAGTATACAGGAAGGGGCTGGGGATTTAGCTCAGCGGGATAAGCACCTGCCTTGCAAGCAGGCGGTCGTGAGTTCAATCCTTGGTACCGATAAAAATGAAAAAGACAAAAAAAAAAGTATACAGGAAGATATGTACAGGTTGCATAATCATTTTATATAATCATCCAGATTGTATAAAACAACAGTATTTATATTATATAATCCTTGGCTAGATTTTGGTACCCTCAGAAGTCCTGGAACCTATGTCTGGTGGATACAGATGATGACTGCAATTAAGGAAGCATGAGGAAACTTCAGGAGGTGATGGACATGATTATGCCTTGATGGCAGCAATAGTTTTATGGGTGATTATCCCCAAACTATCAAGATTAATAATATGGATAACTATTTCCTATCTAGTCATACCTCAAACAAAGCAAAATAAAAAGAGAATGGGACTTTAGTTTTATTATGTCCTATTATAGAGATCTATTTTTCCCTGATTTATAGTATCAAGACATTTTTCCAGATATCAAAAAGCATTCTGTGTCAAGCACAGCGGCACTCAGCTGTAATCCCAGCACTCTGAGAAGCCTGAGGCAGAAGGGTTGCAAGTTCAAGCACACCCTGTGCAATTTAGCAACTTAGTAAAACCCTATCTCCAAATTTAAAAACTTAAAGGGCTAGGGTTGCAGCTCAGCGTAAAGACCCTAGGTTCAAGCCCTAGTATCACAAAAAAAAAAAGTAATCTATTTGCTGTTTAAAATTTTTTTCAAAATCACTTCTAGAAAGTAACTTTTTCTTAGGCAAAACAAGTAAAAAATGAGTTAAAAATTAAAAAGGATTGCTATTTTAAAGACCCAGAGCTCCAAGAAAATCCTAATCTAAACCAAAACTTTATAGTTTATATAATACATAGACAATATTCCTCTTAAGTCTTTGAAAAGTAACTATTTGTATGCTTTATTCTATTATTTAGGAGTAAGTACTTATTAACAACATTAAGAGTTGAGTTAAAAGAATCAACCTGGACATAAATTACACGCTAGACATAAGGTAACATAGTACACAGCTGGGGAGTTAGCTGAGCAGCATAAGCGCCTGCCTGGCAAGCATGAGGTCATGAGTTTGATCTCCGATACCAAAAAATAAAAGGGGGAAGGACCTGGAGGGAACCAAAAGATAACACTGTACAAAAGTTAGGCCCAAATATTAACACAGGAAAAAGTCATTTTAATTATCCTGTCATAAAGATAGTCATTACTATCCTGCTGACACTCTAAGCGTGGTAGAAAATTATACCTCCATTAGACCAGCCAGGTAATACTTGGCTGGGGAAATTGAGTCACAGGTTTATTAGCTAAACTATGCCATCAGATTTCCTTAACCAAAACATACAGAAACTCTAAAATGCTAGCTACTTTAAAATGAAAGACGCTGGGCATGGTAGTGTGTGCCCATAATCCCTCCATAGGCTAAAGCAAGAGGATCAATGCAAATTTGAGGTCAGCCAGAAGTAGTTCAAGGCTGGCCCGAAATACATAGCAAGATCCTATCTTTAAAAAAAAAAAAAAAAAACACCTGAAAGATCACATGGCATATCCTGCCATAACTCTGTGGTCATTTTTGGCCCTGTGTATTCTACACAACTAAACCAAGAACACAATTCTTTTTTTTTTTTTTTTTTTTTTTTTTTTTTTTTTGGTACCTAGGGATCAAACTCACAACCTTGCACTCGCTAGGCAGGAGTTTATGCCACTGAGCTAAATCCCCAGCCCCCCAACCACAAGTCTTCTAACAGAAGGATAAAATTGGAGAAGTCACAGAAAAACATGAGGAAAGGGTATACCTTTCTGAAAAAGAAAAATGGTAGCCTTGGTTTGCTAGCTGTCTAATTTCAGCCTTGTAACACCATTCTGAACTTGATTTCCTGAACTCAAGTCTTTACTGACCAGATTCCTTGAGAGTTATAATTTTTCTACCTGAATTATTTAGCTGGAACACATAACCTTAAGGTCTAATATAGTTTTACTCCTATCAAAAAAACTTTCAGCTGGTAGTGGTGTCACAACCCTGTAATTCCAGCACTCTGGAAGGCTGAGGCAGGAAGACTACAGGCTTGAGACCAGCCCGGGCAAATTAGCAATTTAGCAAGACCCTATCTCCAAGTACAAATGGGCTGGGGATGTAGCTCAGTAGGAAAGCCTTGGGTTCAATCCTCCAGTACCGGAAGAAAATAAAAAATCAGTTTCCCAAGACAGGTTATCTTTCAAGTAAAATTACAAATTGAGAATTTTCATTTCTGATCATTCTCTCTCTAGGACTTCCCTCTGCCTTTGACTCTGTTCTCCTTTCTCCTTGAAAAAATGATCAGAGGCAACATCAGATGTACTCCTCCACCACCATTTGAATACTGAAAGGCCAATGATTCTTAACAGAAGATATGGAAGATATAATGCCTAACCTGCCACAATGCTAATTCCAGAATCTAAATGATCTAATTCCAAAGCAATTTAACAAAACATATGCAAGGTTATGGCGGGGGTAGGGGGGCAGTTACCCAAACTCAAGACCTGGCATTTGCCAGGCAGGCACTTGTGCCACTGAGCTGTATACCCAGCCCTAACATACACAAGTCATATACGTGGGTATATGTATTACAGCGATTCAAAATGTCAAAGCTGTGGTACAAAATACATAAGCAAGTTAAAACCACAGTGACTGCCAAACCACTGACTCTGCTGAGTGACACTATCATGTTGCCACTTATTGGTAACTTAGAAAAGCACACCAACACACACTGCCAGGCAGTCCAATAAACCATTCTTGTTTTTTTCTTCTTTTTTTAATTTTTTTTTTTTTTTTTTTTTTTTTTTTTTTTTTTTGAGACAAGACTTCACTACGCAGTTCAGACAGGCTCTGAACTCACTATATAGCCTAGGCTAGCCTCAAACTCACAGCAATCCTCCAGCTTCAGCCTCCCAAATGCTGGGATCACAGGCATACGCCACCACACCTGGCCTTAATACATCATTTTTACAGTGATGTAGCACAAAATTTTAAAGTGAAAGATCAACTTTAAAATAATTTGCATTATTTGGATATTTCTGGTGCATAATTTTTTATCTTTTTGCTGTAAGAGGAAACAGTCTAATTTCAACCTCTTTGGCATCTTAATTTCCCCCAAATGCAGATAACAAACTTTTACTATTTTATTTCACTTGGCAGGTCATATCTTAAGAAATAATGACAGAGGAAATGTTAATTTCAGGTGTAAATTATAATTTATACTACTGATACTTCTATAATATTTATCTCATTTACTTCCTATTATAGGAGGGAGGGGAAGAGTAAACCAAAACATAAATCACTAAGGGTTAATTTTCTTACACACAGATGGAGAGGAGCTATGACCAGGAATAAAAACAAACGCTGCCAGGTGTAATGGCACACACTTATGATCGCAGCACAAGGAGACAAAGAACAGACGGCAGAAGGTTCACTGTGAATTCAAGGCCAGCCTGTACTACATAGAAATCCTTCCTCAAACAACAACAAATAGAGATGCTGACTTTCAAAACACGCTAAAGAACAACAAAAATAAGGCAACATGTTATCTATCTCTAGTAACTTGAATTAAAATGACGAGAAGGGGCTGGGGATTTAGCTCAATGGCATAAGCACCTGCCTTGCAAGCAGGCGGTCATGAGTTCGATCCCCGGTACCGATTAAAATAAATAAATAAATAAAATAAAATGACAAGAAACTTGATAAAGTACACTAGAAACCTAAAGAAACACTTTAAGGTATTTCCTTTCAAGGTAAAGAAATACTTTTAGGGTTATCTGAAGACTCTAGAATGTATGTACGTGCTACATGTCATGAAACTTCATGTTTCTCAAATTGTTCACTTACAGATACAAAAAAGAGGTACTTAAAATTATGCTATGTGATTTCAAATTGTTTGATCAAATTATAACTTAAATCATAATATTTAACAGTCCACTTACCATGAAAATCTGCACCCAACTTTTTAGAAGCCATTTAGAACCTGAAAAGCAAAAAAATACATCTTAAGCACAAGACGCCTTCACAGAATATAAGCAAAATAAGGAAACAGACTTCAAAAGTTTCAGGTCTGACACATTCCTCGCTTCTTACTTCTAAATAACAAAAAAAGAAGACATAGTAAAGAAGAAATAAGTTTCTAAAGAAATTTTAAACAGTTCTTCAACCTGCATGTTCTGGAAAAAAAAAAAAACCTGAAGTACAGCACACTAGTCACTAACAATTTACACGCTCTCTACCTAAAGAAAAAAATTAGTGAGTATATATATCTTCCTGTTAGAAATAAATGCATCAGTGAGAAAAAGATCTCATTTTATTCAGTTAAAAAAATACAAACAGATCTCTAACTGCCCCTTAACAACTATTAAAATTGAACTTTCTTTTTTTTGTTTGTTTGTTTGTGAGACACAGTCTCGCTATGTAGTGCAAGCTGGCTTTGAACTACGTAGCGTAGGCTAACCTTGAACTCGTAACAATCCTCCCTCAGCCTTGAAATTTCTGAAATGGGGAATGAACAACATATAAACTTTGACCCATTTTAACTCTGGATAAAATTTTTAAAAGTGAAGAGAAACCACACATCTAGTTAACATGACCTTTGTACTTTCAGCCTTGGTGGAAAAGGGCATCCTTTCCTGCACACATAAAATAACACGAGCCCTTCAAACTAAATGTTTATTTCCCTGGATACAATGCTTACATCTTTAATTTACCTAAAACATAAGCAAAAAAGGTTAACTAAGTGAATTTATGATATAATGCCTATTAGCCTACATTATAAGCCATCATACTAAAAAAGATTTTTCTACTATAAGTTAAAAAAAAGTACAAATAACCATCTTGTAACAAAATAATAAAAACAATTAATGAAGCTGGCCATACAGTTCAGTGACGCAGTGTGTTATTAGAACTCAAGAGGTACTGCATTCAATATGGTGGGAGAGGGCATAGCATCTACACAGGACCTCTTTTCCAGAAAATAACAAGCTGATTTAAATTTACATAGGAAAACAAAGTAAACAAAATATTCGAAACAGTTCAGAAAAAGAACAAAGTTGGAGAGTTTACTACCTAATTTCAATATTTATATTACTCTACAGAAATTAAAAGTGTGGCAATGGCACATAGATAAATATTATATAGACAACACAACAAAGTACAGAAATACAGCAACTGACCTTCAACACAATGCATCAGCAGTTCGAAGAGGAATGTACAGTCTTTAAAACAAACCATGCTGCACTTTCACGAAAGAAGCCAACTTAGTATCTTACACCATCTAAAAACTAACTCAAGGAGATGTGAAGATCACGGCGTAGGCATTAGTTTCTTTGGATGATTAAAATGTGGTGAAATGTGAGTCTGCCAAAGACTACACCTTGATGAATATACTAAAAGCTACTGAACTGTATGCAGTGCAACCAAAAAACACAGAGGATTTTAAAAATGTGTTATTACAGTAAAAGCCACATTCCATTAATCCCCTCATGATATATGCCCTTGCTTTAAACACGCCTATCTCATTGTTTTTGCCACTTTTTGAAGCAGTTCTGGAAATTCTTTCTCTTTAGTTGTGCTATCATAGCTGCCTCCATGTCCTGAATTGATTCAAAACATCATCTGTCACAGTCACTTTGACTTTGAGGAAGGGTCTGTCAGACCAAGTGAATACTGTGGAGGACGACATATCTTAATGTTCTTGCAAACCTGCAGTTTGGTTAATCAGCACACAGTAGCAGTATTTACCCCATTTCTGATCACCTGATGAAGACCTGAAAGAGCTCTTCCAGAACTGTTTCAGAGTGTGACAAAACATGGGATAAGTGAGAAACAGTATTTTCCAGAACATAAATGGCAATGTCTTTTAAAGGGGAAAAAAGAACAAACACCAGTTAAGATTTCTTTCTCTGGGGGCTGGGGATTTAGCTCAGTGGTCTAAGTGCCTGCCTGGCAAGCACAAGATTGTGAGTTCAGTCCCCAGCACCAAAAAGAAAATTCTTTCTCTGGGCTGGGAATATAGCTCAATGGCACAGCACCTGCCTGACAAGCACAAGGTCCAGAGTTCAATTCCTGGTAGCCAAGAGAAAAAAAAGAAACAAAAAGAAAAATCTTACTGTAAATGCAAAGGCCCTAAATTTAATCCCCAGTACTAGAAAAACACAATAGTAATAGGTATTTATTCATTTATTTATGAGACAGGGTCTCACTCTTCAAACTGGCCTTGAACTCACTATGCACCTCCACAGCCTCAAACTCCCAGTGATCCTCCTGCTTTAGCCTCAAGTGCTGGGATTTACAGGCATGCACCACCATGCCCAGTGCTGTTTTACTTTATTAATAACTTAAGATATTAGCAGTAACAAAGAGATAATAGTTATGAATTGACCCAATATTTAATATCACTACTCATAAAACAAGAACTGTAAAGAAATAAGAACTAAGCAGAAATGTTGGAGACCGCTACGAAGTGGCTCTGAGTAGGATTTAAAATTAACAACTTGGCTTTCTATGTTTATCTGTGTGTCTGTCCTAGGCCCCTTGCCTGGCGATGGGAGCTGTTTCACAGTAAGTGAACCTCTATGAATCACTGGTCCTGGTTGAGGCCTGTAGTGGCCTGTGAGGTCAGAGATACCTCAAAGGGCAAGATAAGGCCACAGATGAGGACACCTGGCTCAAACATCAAATAAGAAGATAAAGACTGCAGCTGCAGGTATCTCACTCCTACTATAAATGTCATCCTGGAGATAAGATGGTTCCCCTTACTTGGCATAATTTACTACTTGGAGAAGTCTTTGAAGTGACTTCCAAGGTCCTGCTCATTTCCCTCGCTTTCCTCAGTATCCCCACTCTTTCTTTGGACCTAATAAATAGGGGTAGTCCAGAGAAACACTTTGACTCATGATAGCCAAAGAATCGAGAACTCTGCTAGAGGGTTTTGACCCTCCTGGAGCCCTAAAATCATACCACTTGTCTCCTTTATATTAGCCTTCATGTACACTCCTTTGGGAGATTGGGGATTTAGGTCAGAACCTGATACAGAAATACAAATTAGTAAGATAGGTATTATTTTATAGCATGTCAAACCTTTTGAAATATCCATAGCACACTTTACAAAACTTGATTTAAACATCTCACAAAGAAAACCACAATAAATTTCTAAAATCAGAATTAGCGCAGTATAAAAACAAAAATAAACATCAAAACACAAAAGTACCAACAGTTGACTTTTTGTTGTGGTTCTATGTATTCAACCCTCAAATCATGCAAGTAGGCAAGCACTCCACTGCTGACCTACATCCCCAGTCTGCATGTATCTGAATTTTTAAATTGTCTCATAAAGAATCCATGGAATCCGTGGTGCATACCTGTAATGTCAGCACTTAAGAGGCTGAGTCAGCAAGTTCAAGACCAGCCTGGGCTACAAAATGAGCTCAAGACTAGCCTAAACTGCATAGTGAGACCCTGGCTCAAAAAGACAAACATAAATAAAGAATTCATGGATTAAAGAAGTAGCCAAAACAAAACTGTAAAAGATAATGACAATGAAAACATTCCACTTGAGAAACAACACACAGCCAAAACAGCTTAGAAGAAAATTCACAACATATATCCCAGAGACTTTGAATAAAAATTAGTAAAACATAAGACTAAAAATATGCAGGAGAGATTCAAACAGAAAATGATTAAAAATCAGAAAAAAAAAAACAGATCTACTAATAAAAAATTCACGACAGACATGGTGGTACACTCCTGTAATCTCCAGGCTCTGGAGGTTAAAGCAGAAGGATCACAAATGCAAGCCCAGCCCAAGCAACCTGGCAATTTAGCAAAAAATGACTCAAAATTTAAATTAAAAAAAAAAAGAATTGGTGGAGGGTAGGGGAGCGGGAAACATAGCTCAGTGTAAGGGCCTGAGTGTAATTCCCCAGTAACATAAAATACATAAAGAAGATACAGCACTTAAAACTGTACTATACTTGTACATAAATAGAAAGATTGGTGGAACAGAATGGAAATGCCTAAAATCATTCCAAATATGAAAATCTAGACCAGGCATGTTAAAGCACACCTATAGGGGCTGGGGATTTAGCTCAGTGGCATAAGCACCTGCCTTGCAAGCAGGCGGTTGTGAGTTCGATCCCCGGTACCGATAAAAATGAAAAGGACAAAAAAAAAAAAAAAAGCACACCTATAATCCCAGCACTCAGGAGGCTGAGGTAGGAGGATTACTGTGAATTTAGGGCCACCCTGAACTGCACAGTGAAACCCTGTCTGTCTTAAAAAAGAACAAGAGGTTAATAAAAAAAAAAGATTTGGCCTATTAAAACTTAGAAAATAAAGTCAAGATGCTTTAATGGATAAACTTTCTCACTACCTAAATTATACCTAACTTCAAACGAGGTTTTATCAATCATAAGGTATACTTCAAAAAGAATCTATATAAGATTATTTCACACAGTACAGTAAAAATTGATTATAGTTGAACTTCAGAAGTGACAGTGTATACAAAGATAACACAGTAAAAACAGTGAAAGCAAATTTCTGACCTAATCTGAGTTCGTAAAAACTGCAGTTAAGAACTTCAGCTAATATCCTTATAGGTCAAGAAAACTCCAAGCACACATTCCTCAACTCTGGGTTCTTCTTAATTCTCCAACCACACCTAGTAGTATACTGTCCAATCCTTCCCAGCAGTGGTCGTCATGCCCTTTTCCCTCCAAATTTTCTGAAAATTTAATTGACAATCCTATAATAAGTCTAATGTGTAAAATTTATAAATCACATGTTAATTTTAACTAGTATTAGGATAACTAATTCTAATATGCAATTCGGAAATATGATTAAAGCAATAACCCTCAACTGCAATAACAATGCTCGCAGTTGTTACCAGTAACTAGTCTGATATGATAAATCCTGTGAGATTAACTACCACATGAAAAGGAAAGTACTAGGTGAAAGTTAGAATGGGCGTCAGGCACAGTG